ATTTCAAATTTGACATTGATTACAAGTGGTATCTCTCTCTCTCTCTCTCTCTCTCTCTCTCTCTCTCCCTCTCTCTCTCTCTCNTCTCTCTCTCTCTCTCTCTCTCTCTCTCTCTCTCTCTCTCTCGCTCTCTCTCTCTCTCTACAACGATCTTAATTGTCAACAAAAATGTTCTCAGTATAAAGTATAATAAGGAATTTTTGTCCCATAGGTTTCTCTCAACATGTCATAGGAATTCTGCTTCAATATTCAACCTTTAAAATTATATATTTATTATGCAATTTTTCAGGATACAATTTAAAAATTTAAATTTAATACAGCTGGACTCTGTGTATAATGATCTTGTCAACAAAAATGTTCTGTGGATAAGCATTTTTTTGTCACATAGGTTTCTCTTCTCATGTTATAGGGGTTCTGCACAATTAAATTCTCTCTGGAACAATTTTTGCTGGTTCCTTTGAATTTTCTTCAATAACAAAATTTTCTCTACAGCAATGAATTGTTTTTTCCCCTTGCATTTTTTGTAGAGAGACAGAGAGAGAGAGAGAGGGATATTCCACTTATAGTATAAAATTAAAGTAATCCTGACAAGGTTGTGCTCTCGACATTCTGAAATTTTCAATTTTTAAAGAAAGAAATTTTTGAAAAATTGCTTACCTCCACATCAATATGACAAGATTTTCTTTTGTGACCCAGCAACTCAAAATCACACTGACTGAGCTTGAAATGCGAATTCGACTGCTCAAAAGGCAGCATGCAAATAGTAAAATAAACCTTTTTTCTCATTTTCCTCAATTGCTTGAAAATTGTTCAAGATTTTATACAAAAGCTACCTGAAATTCAAGCAGTTTTTAGTTTAAAAAAATTATTTTACGTAAAACAATCTTCTGCTTTAATTTCTTCATCCTTGAAAATTGTGCACTTGATAATTTATTTTTATGGTTTTTGTATAAAGGAGGGGCCTACTGTAATTGCATTAATTTTAACTCGAATGAAAAGTTGGAAATAACAATTGTTTCTATCTTCTTTGAAGTAAATAAGTAACCCAGCAAGCACCGTTTTGTCTTTCATCGACGAATGTCTCGCAATCATGCCTGAAGGAAGACTTTATTCGTGTCATATATGCGTCAAAAACGAAATGGAAAGGATTGCCAAGACTGGACCAAGTCAACACCGAAAGAAAACACTTGCCCACCTTGATTCTTTCTCTGATCACCCGAGGCTTGCGTTTTATCAGGAAATGTTTCCTTTTTTTAAAGCCAGATTTAATCGTACAATAGTCTCGAGCATATATAATTATAATTAAAGGGGAGAACAAAAAAAGTGAACGCGTTTCCCAGTGCTCAAGCTCATTAACCTCTCGGCGTTATGCTCGCCACCACGGAAAAAAAATTTCACCGAGTTTCGAAATTATCCCATGGTTTTCCCCCCACACTTGTTGTGGATGTCGACATTTCACCACTGCATTGGCCAAACGAAGACGGAAATGAGACAAGAAATATAAGAAGGAAACAGTCGCTTTCTTCGGTTCCCACATGCGCACGCAAAGAAAAATGTGGCAAAAAAAAAAATCGCCGGAAAAATATATATGTAAGATGGAAAGTCCAGGTGCTGGAAGGAACCAGGTTATTGTGCCACCTTGGCTTGCAAGAACGAAAAAAAATGTCTTCCGGCCATAAAGAAGAATAAAGTCTGCTTTTTATTTTTTTATTTTATTTTTTACTATTTTCATGCTGCCTTTTTGAGCAGTTGAATTCGCATTTCAAGTTCTGTCAGTGTGATTTTGAGTGGCTGGGTCACAAAAAGAAAATATTGTCATATTGATGTGGAAGGAAGCAATTTTTCAAAGATTTATGCGTCATTTTCAGTAGGACGCAGACATTTCTATAAACTCTTCGAAAGATAGGGAAATCGAGTAATATTTTTGCTCGGAAGCCCTCAGGCAATTCTAAATTTAAATCAAATAAATTTCATGCCTGGTTAATGTATGAGAGAATAAGCGAATACAGTATATCCGCTTTGTGTCTCGTGATTCCAATTACATTTTTGGCAGCAAATAAATAATTGTTCATCATTTCATTGCGGGAATTCCGCAGAAATTTCCAACCGAAAGCCCAAAATATTAAATCTGACCTCTATTTCAATAGCAATTTTGAATGCATTTTTCATCAACTGTAAAACTTTCCTTACCTACTGAGCTGATAACTGCTGTGTAAGTGCGTTAGACTTGATAATCAGATGCAAAAACGGATCGTGAAGAATTGAAAATATGCTGTTACCTGACGTTACACAGCAGAACCTTATTGACAACTCAAACCTCTCTTATATTCATTAGATACCTCCTTATGTCAAAATTTTTTTTTTATTTGTAAGGGGGTTGATATCTTATTGATCTCTCTAAGTAAATTCAAACAGGGACTGTACAAACATTCAGCACAAGGAGGTTTTGACAGTTTGAGTTAATACTGTATTAAGGTAAATCTGTATTCAAAATGAGCTTCAGGACAAAAATTACCGCTCTAATGTCATTGATTCAGTCCAATTTTTCTGATTAACTTCAATTTAGAGTAATGGAGACGACGATTCAACTCCAGCTGAATTATTCCAGTGAAAGAGGTGCTGAGGGAATTATTTTTAAAAGTTCGTTGTCGTCGCATACCGATCCGAATTCTTTCGCTTGTTCTCATTCGTCGTCGTCGCATTTCGGGAATGCATGAAATAAATAAAATAAATAAATACCCCACCCTGTATGGGTCGTCGGTAACAAGCAAGCAGCATAAGCAAAAGCAAGCAGATGCTCACCATCGATAAGCGATTCATTGGTGTATCGTTTAAGGAACCATCTGGCGACCAAACTGCCATTCAAGCCACCACAGTCGACCCTGGTTTTCCTCATCTTCTCACCGCGTTGAATGCAACCCGGCTCCTTTATTTATACTTTATTTTACAACGGGCGTAGAGAGCCCTTGACGCCAACTTACGAACTCCTTAAACTCTCTTTCTATGTGGGTCACTGGACTTTTTTTTTCTCCGTGGGTTTAAAAGCCCTCCGCAGGAAGAATGTGCAGCCAGCAAAAATGTGCAGCATACTGTATTTCCTATGGACCCGAAAGCCCGTGTCCCTGTCATCATTCCTGCGCTAGGGCTCCTTGGCAAGACCTGTCTAAATGTTACTTAGCACCTCCCCTTATTGTAAGACGCTAGGACCTCACCCAAAAGGTGTTCAGGAAACTTTTAATAAGTGAAGTGCTTATTTTTATTTGCTTTGGCACAAGAGCTCAGGTATTTGCTAATTCGCGCATGAGATAATTTGCTTTGACGTTAATCACGTGAGGTACGCTGCGACCTTGTTATTTGAAAATTCCGAAGTTTTGTGGTAGGTTTGTAAATTTTTGGATACAAATAAAGGTTTAAAAAATTTGATTTGAAACGTATAATCAATCATGTCCCCCATAAACTGCTCGATGAAAACGCTGAATTTATGCGCGAATTATTGCCAAAGAAATATTGCTTTTGAAAATTGTTTTCAAAAAATTTTTCGTTGACCACGATTTACTTTATTGAGAAAAGCAAATAAGCTCTGGTATTTCTTAATCCGCGTGGGAAATAATTTGTCATAAAGTGAAATGAAATTTTTGCTTTTCACGCGAGGTACGGTATGACCTTTATTTTTGTCGTTCTGTATTCTGTATTTTATGCAAGGTCTACAGCGTTTTTCGATGCGAAAGTAAATCAATTTGTGTTTTGGCAGATGATCAATAATTTTATCTAAAATGTGCTGGAAGGAAAACGTTGGATTCGTGCAGAAATTTTTTCCCGAAGAAATATATGTTCGGATGAGGTTTTCTGCTGCAGTATTTTAAGCACTTAGATTGAATGCGAAATTTCAAGTTCTATGGAATTGACCTTTTAAAATGAAAAAAAAGTATGGGCAAAAAGCGTAGGACATTTTAAGATTACTAATAATGCGCCTTCAGGAGACATCTGAGTTGTTGGGATTTCTCATTAAAACATATGATTAAAAAAGGTGGACCGTATAAAATAAATGGGGAAAGAACCCTATGGACAAAAAAAAAATCGTTAGAGAGAGAAAATCTTTGTAGACAACATCGTTATTTAGAGAGACGAGTCCACCTATATTTTTAACCTACTGTTTGCATTCAGTTTTTTTCTTCTCATAAAATATGATAACTTTTGTCAACAGCAGAATTTCATAAAATAAATAAACCCCTACGTCTCAAGAACGATATCTCTGGCTTTGATAAGCATATCCAAGTACACATCAGAGGAACTTTCCAAGTACTGTAATATTAGAACAAGACTTCGTACATTTTAGCACCGAAATTCAGCCTATTCACAAATATTTGAATACATTTTTGAAGCAAGCCACAGCAGTTATAAGAGTGAAGAAAGAACTGAGCACCATGCAGCACCTGGCTAAGGATGGATCCTGGCATTCAGAATTCATTTTTTACATTATCCTCCTTCTCTTCCTCACTTGCAAAAATCCTATCTTATTTGGAAAAACCGGTAAAGCATCGAAAATCGTCTTTCCAAGAGGTGAAAAAAAAGCCGACCCGACAGGTGTTTTCCCGTTGTTCTCGGAGTGCACGGTACGACCCTAACTTTGCGACCTTGACCCGCGATTATTACCACGAATCTTTGCCATATTCTCCTCCACAAAAAAAAAACGAGAAAAGAAATGACACTATAGCTAAAAAGATACCTTCCCTTCGAGTTGGGGTTGCATTATTATTTTTGGCACGCGTTTGGGCGGTTAAAAGGCAGGCAGTTGCGTCTATCGGGAAAAACGGTCCGCAAAGTAACTGTCCCTCAATAATGAAGAGCGACACTGTGCACGTAGTTACCGTAAGTCTGCTCTTTTTCTTCTTTTTTTTTAGAAAAGCAGAAACATTGAAAGAACATGGTTCTCTGACGACACCCTTTTTTGTCCACAGGTCGTTCATCAAAAAATATCAAAGAAGAACTCGGAACGAAAATCTTTTTTTTTTTAATATGTATTTCCCCCAAGTCGCAAGATCCCAGAAAAAAAGACAAAATTGCGCTAGAGGGGGGAAAATAAAAGCAATTGATGAATGAGGCAAAATTTTGAGCAAATTGTCTCACAAAAAAAACAACATTTTTCATCTGATCATCACACATTCAGAAAAGAAAATGCAAAAACAACTTTTCGTAAAATAGAAAACGACGGTAAAGTTATTTGGTCAAGGCGCATTAAAACCGATGCTTAAAGACTGCAGAAGTTTCCGCAAAAATTGACACACAAAACAACATTTTCAAAATTTTTCTGGGACAATTTTTTGTAAAATAGAAAACGACGTGAACATGTTTTGGTGAATGCAAATGAAATAAGTGATGCTTCAAAAGACCGCGGATATTTTTTAAAATCACCAATTTACAAAAAAAATTCTGCAAAAGCACCTAGCCCGAAATTTAAAGTCAAGCTGATTTATTTTCAAAAAAAGGGGAAAGCTTTTTTTCAAATTTTTTGAAATTTGTTCTCACGTCTTCAATGGGAATGATTTTGTTGGTTCGTCGGCGCTTTCTTAATAACTTTGGCTAATTCCTTAATTAAATCAGGGTAATATATGGGGTCCATGTGTTCCCCAATTCCGGTCAACACGAACCAATCCGGAATGGACAGTTTTCGCACGAGGTAATCGCAATCACTGAATGGGTTTGCAGTGTCACGTGTCGCCACCAAGTTTTTCAATGTCCGGTTTCTCATGTACGGAAGCAGAATTTGAATGATTCTGTACAGCAAGCAAACACCAGTGATGGCAGCTAGAATCACGAACCTGGAACGACGAAGCACAGATTTTGAGTTTTACTTTTTGAGATTGATTTTCTGCGTGGATAATTCAGAAAATTTAATTTTAGAGCTTCATTATTCGTAAAACAAAATTTCGCGAATGTAATCGTGAAGTGTGAAATTCCATTACGTATTGAAGTACTCGAGGTCATTTTTCTTTAAAAATTTGTCTAAAAAATAGTATTGTTTTAGCTTTTGATAATTAATTAATTTTTGTTGATGAGGGTAAGTTGGACCAATAATCAATGAGGCTCCAATCAACAGGGCATCCACTTAAAAACCTTAATTTTCGCTTTAGCTCATTTTAACCACATTAATTAGGCGTAATTAATCATCATTGAAGTGATTAATTATCATCATGGCACCTGTTGACGAACAAAATGAATTTTTAAATGCGCAAAATAAAGCTCATCCGATATTCCAGTGATCGCAAGAATCCAAAATTTTTCAAGAATTCGAATTTCTTATAATTGCTTGATTCCTTTTTTATGGCTTTAACATCAATGCATTCAATGTTCGTTTAAATTTAATATTTGAAGAGGAATTCTGGATAAAATAATTCTACAAAATGGCTACTGGAAATTTTTTTCATGGAGCAAAGCTAGGCGTTTTGATACAAGTTATTTAGGATTCTTTTGATCTGCGCATCAACATGTTTGTTGAACCCACTTTTTCTGGGTTTTGCATATCCCTTGTCAACTTGGGGAATCTTATTTAGCAGCATTTCTGGATAAGAAACGGTAACAATACATTCTTAAATTTGGGGAAATTTTTTTCAGTTTATGTCAGGGTCATCATTGATTCTTCATACTGTTATCCAAAAACTATTTTACGAAAGTTGTTGGTCAACGATGATCAGTCGTTAATTTGAATGATTCTGTACAGCAAGCAAACACCAGTGATGGCAGCTAGAATCACGAACCTGGAACGACGAAGCACAGATTTTGAGTTTTACTTTTTGAGATTGATTTTCTGCGTGGATAATTCAGAAATTTAATTTTTAGAGCTTCATTATTCGTAAAACAAAATTTCGCGAATGTAATCGTGAAGTGTGAAATTCCGTTACGTATTGGAGTACCCAAAGTCATTTTTCTTTCAAAATGTGTCTAAAAAAATAGTATTGTTTTAGCTTTTGATAATTAATTAATTTTTGTTGATGAGGGGAAGTTGGACCAATAATCAATGAGGCTCCAATCAACAGGGCATCCACTTAAAAACCTTAATTTTTACTTTGGCTCATTTTAACCCCCTTAATTAGGCGTGATTAATCATCATTGAAGTGATCAATCATCATAACAGTACTTGATGACGAAGAAAATGAATTTGTAAATGCGCAAAATAAAGCTCATCCGATACTCCAGGTATGGCAAGAATCCAACATTTTTCAAGAATTCGAATTTCTTATAATTGCTTGATTTCTTTTTTATGGCTTGAACATCAATGCATTCAATGTTCGTTTAAATTAATATTTAAAGAGGAATTCTGGATAAAATAATTCTACGAAATTGCTACTGGAAATTTATTTTCATGGAGCAAAGCTAGGGTTTTGATACAAGTTATTTAAGATATTTTTGAGTTGCGCAGCATGTTTTTTAAACCCACTTTTTTTGGGCTTTTCATATCCTTTGTCAACTTGGGGAATCTTATTTAGCAGCATTTCTGGATACGAAACGGTTACAATGCATTCTTGAATTTGGGGAAATTTTTTCAGTTCATGTCAGGGTCATCATTGATTCTTCATACTAATGTGAAAAATGCCTCATAAAGTTAAGGGTGTGATAGAGTATTGAATTATCTGGCCAAAGACACCCAGTTAAATCAACCCTTCAAACAGAATTTTTTTGAACATTTATTCGCTATAAACACTTGGATTTTTTGAAACATACAGTACCCTGCAAATAATTGGGCATAGGAAAATGCATGGCAAATGTGTTTCATACCCTAACTGCCATGAATTTCATGTTATGCCTATACTTGGGTCTTTTGTTATGCATTGCAGCTAGGTGTTTTAAAATGCCTGCCTGCTACAGTTGAATAAGAAACTGGTGTAACTTGAGTGACGCTTGAATAGGATGGATTGTGTATTGGAAATGTGTAAGATACATGCTTAAAAGAAAAACTTGTTACATTTAATATGTATTTGTTGCAGTATTTTTTATGTCATGGTTACCTTTGTTGCAGTAACTGCAACATAAAAAATACTGCAACAAAGGGAACCTCACCATAAAAAATCTCCTCAACAATACAGACTGGACGCATTATACACATTGTACACATTACACACACACACACATACAAACACACATACATACACACACACACATACAAACACACATACATACATACACACACACACACACACACTGACAGGTAAAGACATTAATAATCCAACATCCAGCCCTGCCTGCAACAAATTATTTGCTGGGTATTGATATGGAAAATACAGTTAAAGTCTTGAATTTTATTTGTGTTTATTTTCTTTAAACAATTGGATTCTGGCATTTGATGCACAGCACTGTCGATTTTTCTCGTTTGGATTATCCAAAGATTTCTTCAGGAAGTTTGAAATGTTTATTATCCATGTCATTTGTTATGAGGGGACCCACACAACCATGTGGTACACATTTAAAGGATGTAAATTATTTCAGTATGACTAGAAAAATTGAGAGAAGAAAACACTGCGAATTTAATTTTAAAGTCCGAGACGTTTAGGACTGTCATCTAGGGAGATTCCAAGGAAACACTTCATCTTCAGGAACACAGTTCCACATTCAGCTGCAAAAATCTCCCGCAAATGCCCCGAAAGTCTTTCAAATTTTTCTGCAACTTTTGTTCCATTCCATCCAAAATTTGATTTTTGGCGCACACAAAAAAACGTACCAGAACCAGAGGAAAACGTAGATTTTCTCGTTGAAAATGTTGATGGCCAAAACGCAGATGGCGTCGTGTTTCTGCACGGTTCCCGTGGGCCCGTACATGCGCCAATCGCATTTGGTGACTCTCGGGAAAATTTTGATCATCGGATCCGTGCGATTCTTGTAGTCCAGCTGAATAAAGTCGATGACTTCCGTTCCTGAGAACCACATTTTATATGGAGGCATGAATATGAGCTCAGAACTCAGCATTGTACACTTCCACAGGACACGAATATTTTTTTTTTTTGAGAATGACAAGGTGAATGACTTATTCAAAAATATTCTGCATAACTTTTTTCGTCATGAACAAAAGAATGAGACAGGTTTCCGAGTTCCGCAGGTCAATCGTGACCAACACAAATTGTTTTCAGCTGTCATTTTTGCATAAATAAATAAAAAACTTAGCCAAAATAATTTTCTTTGCTTTTACCATATCCCAGTATAAAATGAGTGCTTATGTAAATAAATAAAAATTTGCCAAAATCGTTCTCTTTGTTTTTACCATATCCCAGTATAAAATGAGTACTTCCATCAAGTTCAGCATACTTTCAGCTCATTTAAAAAGCAATTCAAGACCAAGAATATGTTTTTTTTTTCAACAAAAATGTTTTCCTTGACTCGAAACCCCTCTAACAGGAATTTTTAAGCTCAAAGTTTGACTTATTGAAGCTGTATTTTTTTTAGTTCGAAAAGAAAAACTTGATCCTCGAAGATAGAAGACAGACAGTTTTTGCAGAAAAATTTATTTTGCCGAGCCTTGGCTTCCTTCCAAAAATGAATTTATAATGTCTCATTCTATCGAGGAAATTGTGTTTACAGGAATCATAGAATTTCTCAAAGAATGCACGCCTCAAATTTTATTATACTGTACATTATTCGAGTATTTGTGAGGAAGTATAAATTAATTTTGAATTGTTTTGGCAAACATTTTTCCTCCAACCCTCCAAACGGCTTTGAAGTCACTATGTTGTGGATATGAAAAGCAATTAAAAAAAGCTCCTGAGACGATAAGAAGCGATGCAAAACCGGGGCAAAAAATTTGCATGACGAGGGTATACTTCTCCTAAACGCATAATCATCTTTAAGCGTATTTCATGCAAAGGAATATTTTTTGCAATCTCACCGAAAGTCTTGAATTCGCCTCCCAGAAACGTGTCGGTGAAGAAAATATTGCCGACGACCACTGCGAAATTCAGTGCTTCACAAACGAGAAACCACAAGTAAAAGCTGTAATGGGTGCCTCTGGACTTGTCCACGTATTTGACAACATTCGACATCCGCGCAAATTTCTTCTCTGATTCCCCGAAACTGCTTCCGTCCAATTCGTCCAACACTTTGGCGAGCGATTT